TATATATATATATATAATTTTTGCATTTCTTGGCCACTTTACAATTTTCTGAACCATTTTCTTTCTCCCCAGAGACAGTCCCAGTAAAGTTTAGATACAGAAAATACACAGTTTACACTGAAAACAAATGAGTATGCCAGGATTTGGCCAGACTATAGAAGAAAGAGTAATTTAAATAACATCTAAGCCAATCTATGAGAGAGACGTAAAAAATGTTCTGAAACACCCATGATTTTTTCACTAGAATCCAAAGTGTGCAAAGTACTCAAGCATGCACTTAAGTGATTTACTGAACTGGGACCTAACTCCCTTAATGTTTATATAATAGTATATAATAATATGTGTGTAAATATAAAAATGTGTGTAAATTATAATGAAAAGGAAAACCCTGACTCTGTGCAGATAGGAAGAACAGGATCTGAAGACTGGTAGCTGTAAGAGTTCAGTTCCTGAAGATGCCTGTATGTGACTAGAGAGAGGTAAGGTTTGAGATCTTTTGGGGCAAGGACCTTGTTTTCTCATCTCTCATCTCACTTGGAAATGTGTGGTGTGAATATTATAAATAAAAACACAAACTATTATTTCTACTGTTACTAGCACTAATATAATACAGAAGTCCAATGACCTTTTCTCTTGTATAAGTAGATCATTAGATATATAGACCGGGAAGTGAGAATTCTGCAATAGATTATGGCAGGAGTTGTCAACCAGGGGGACACACACCCCCAGGGGTACTTGAGAAGGCCCTAGGGGGTACATGTGGGTGGGCGGGGATGGAGTGCCACCATGCACCGACCCGCACTGCTGCGCAGGCACCGCCTGCCCGGCTGGACGTGGGGGGCGGGGGAAGTTCACGTGCAGTGGCTGCTACCACTCCGCGTTTGGCTGCCCTCCCTCCCCCCCACTCCACATCCAGCCATGCACCACCACCCGCTCCCCCCGCTCCATCTCCAGCTGCCGGGGTACACTGATCCAAAAAGGTTGAAAATCCCTGGATTACGGGATGAAATCTGGCCTTTGGGGTTGGCTCCACAACAATTTCCTCTAGTTATAAAAAGTCAAAGTCAAAAGATTGCCTTAGATGAATAGCCCACCAGACTGGCATGGTTAAGGCATACCATTTTTTATAGTTTCTAAAGTGGATGGTCTACACAAGAATGATGGGGTTAGCATCACCTCTTCAACCAGCTGTGAGGAACAGCAAGATGCCTTTGCTATGGCCTGGTGCCTCTGCTATGACAAAGCTAATAATTTTGAAGGATTAGTTATACACTGAAAACTCAAAACACAACCATTCACTCTCATATGGATCTATGAAACTGCTATCTCTACTGACTCTTGATTACCTACTTAGATCTGATGTGGAAAAGCTCTGGGGTTGAGTTGCAGAGACAACAGCACGCAAAGTGGGAAGTATTTGGGTTTCACAGGGTTAAATTCACTCCTACTATAGTTCTACTGATTTTGAAGAATTACATTAAGGGTGGGTTTAGATGATTTTGACATAGAGATAATGACTGAATGAGGTTGCTCAGGAGATCCCTATAAAATACTCAGAAGGTAAAGACAATTTCATTTATAATTGCAACAAAACTGCTACAATCTTTCTGCACTGATGTTTTAAAACTTGCCAAGATAACTTCATCTATTATAGAAGCAGAAGTAATTTGTATTAATTTATGATTCAACTTTTCTCCTTAAGCTCTTGACTGCCAGTACTGGTGTCTTGGACTGCACAAAACAGCTCCCGATTCATGGAATTTTAGAATAACACACACAGAAGCCATGTTCTCTGACTATAAAAATATTTTTCAGCCTTTCAAATATTGCGATTGTCCTTTCTATAGCATAGATGCAAATCAAAATTAAAGCTTCAAACCCAGCTTGGACGATGCTGGTTTGCTTCCACAGGTACTATGATTTTAATAATTAAAATGGTGCATTGCTGAGAGGACAACTGGAGTATAGAAAGATTTTCTTTATGGTGTGAGAGGTAGCAGAAACCCAAAATATTAAGTTATTCATATTCTGCTGGCTAAATAGCTCTGTGAGATAGGGTATCTTTGAACATTAGGAAAAAAATACGAAACAGAGCTAAAACCTATGAAGTACTGAGATGCCACTGACTTACTTTAGTAGGAGGTCAGGATATTCAGAGTTTAGGGCTAGATTCACTAGGGGATTTAGGAGTCTAAATACCACATTAGAAGCTAATTACAGTCACAAAATGCCCTCTTAATCATGTAAATTCCTAAGTTTCTGTGAGTAAAATCCTCTATCCACCTAAATTACTGTTGGTGGGCTTGATTTTCTCTTATTTGTGTTGCATTTTGGCAGTACAACTTTCAAAGAGACAAATTCATCTTTCTGATTGAGCTGTGTTCACTTCAAGACACAAAAGTGCTTAAAATGTTGACTTCTAAGTCTTCCTGTTGTCTGTTACTATTGGAGGTGGTTCTGCCCCCACCAGGGGGACAGCAGTTAGCCACTGTGAACCATCAGAATTCCCCATGGATCACCATGCACCCTTATTATAAACCTCCCCACCTCCCAAGAACACTAGAAAGGTGTGTGGGGCCTGGTGCTCTAGCTGTGGACCACTTATCATGGTCACATCGTAGATGACAGCATTTGTGGAGAGGCTTCTCAAGGAGCTAGATCTGCTGGCCCAAAGTAACTGGAGCAGGACTCAGTGTTTTGTTAACTAATCAAATCATCAGTCCCACTAAGGGTAAGGTCAGGAATACAAATAACAATTGTATGAAGTCTGTATTATTTCTACTTGCCCTGGGGCAGGATCCTAAACTTTTTATTATTTTTAAATGTCTTGCTTTATATGTCCTGGCTATGTGGTAGTGTCTGTGCCTCTGGAAGAAATCAAGTCATACATAATGCATTGCTCAGTGTTTCTAAAATCAAATTTAAAACAGTCATGATTTAGAGTTTAAGGCATGTTTGTTTATTTATTTATATAGTCCATGCCTTGGAATATTTTTTTTATTTGGAATGGCTTACATCCCTTGGCTGAAAAAGATTATTGAAGCCATATTTATTTGGAAAGCCTCTGCCCCTTCTTGTCAGCCTCCTAACTCAGTCTCTTTACATTCTTAAAGAATGTGGATCTACAAAACAGACCTTAGTTGTTTCTTTAAGTCTCCATTATTTGTATCACTTTACAATCTTGAGAAAGTCTTTCCCTGCTGCTATGACAATATTTGATTAGAGTTTCTTTTGGCTCCAAATTTTAATGTCAACAGAGCTGGGCTATTTTGGACTGAGATGATAGGGAGTTCCACAGCTGAGGGGCTGTCATGGAAAACATCCTGTAAACAGCTCGCTCTCTTTTTTAGACAGCATGGAGCACCAGCTCTGGTGTCACCACCCAGTGTGGCTAGAGCAGTAACACAAAACTAGGGAGAGGTGGATTCTCACATACATTGGTACTAGGACGTTCAGAGCTTTAAAGGTCAAAACTATCATCTTAAAATGTACTCAGAAACCAATAAATCATTATGCCCACATATAACATGTTCCCAACAAGTTATCTCATTTAAAAGAGCATGCAGCCACATTCTGCACCAGCATCAGAGTCCAAGCAGTTTAGATATACTTCTGTATAGAGAATATTGCACTGTCTAATCCTGAAGCAACAAAATCTGGATAACAACTGAATGCTATGTCTTGGTAGGACAGTTTCCTCTGGGAATTTATGAGTAGGGCTATAAACAGTAAAAATCTCAGTTTTACCTCCTTAGGTAAACACAATTAAAATAAATGCAAATTGAAAAGGATTAAATTCTTACCTGCATACTGTCTTTTTTCTCCCAGGTCAATGACACTGTTTTCATCTCCCCTGTCACTGTATTGAATCTCCCTCTCCTGTAAGAGCTGCACAATTTTTACCTGCTGCTGCTTTACACGATGTTCCAGAAGTCTCACCTGAGCCTGGAGCCTCAGCTGCTCTTGCAAACAACTCTGTAGAGTCTAGAGGGGGAAATGCATCCTGCTAGTAGTGTCAACAATATTTATCATAGCACTTTGTTTTGCATTAATAAACTACTGTTCTCTAAAATACAGCTTTGTCACTAATTGCTGTAAAAATAGAATATGATGATTACTCTCCCCTCCATCACTGTTACCTAGTATGCTATGTTAGGGTGACAATATTTGGATCTTGGGGAGCACTGGATTTACAGCTGAATAAAGGCTTTAGCCTGTGGCCAGCAAAGCTGCTAACCACAAGGCAGAATGATATATTAAAAGTAACATTGCAAAAGCTTAGGCAAGCAGTTTCCTAACAATGTGGTAGTGTGTAGGATATATGATTCATTGTGCAAGGAGAACAGGATGCAGCCCACCAGCTATCGTCAGGAGATAAAGCACAAGTAAGACCTTGGAGATGAAGGAGTTAGCAAGAAACGGCAAATGACCAGGAGAAGCTGGGTTCATGGTCTTGAGCATGCGCTCATGGCAGAAAAACATGTAAATGAATTGAATGCATAGGCAATTCCATGATAATGAAGTAAACAGTAAACAGAGGAGGAGCTTGGATAGTGGTTTGTAAGTATTTTACTTGTTCTTTGGTAGGAGATGGCAGCACTAGTTTAAGACAGATATTGGGAACAAAACCCATCTGTGAAGGAGCTTCAGTTTCTGAGGAAGTTGAATTTAGGCTACTCAGGCTGATTTTAAATTCTCTAGTATTGGAGAAGCTTGAACGGGAGCTGCCCCACCTCTGAAAGAC